GACTTTCAATGTTTCCTGCCAGACTCATTGTTAAAATCATGAATTCGTAAAATAACTGGGTGCTAAATTAAGTCAATTTGATTGCTACATAAAGACTTCATTCTAAAAGACTTTGTATTTGATATAGCTCGCCTTCCCTCCAAGCGTGTAAGTGGAAATTAATGCAGGCGCGTGAATACTCATGCAAATTCATGGTAAAGGCGCTGGGCCCACCTGTAGTAACATGGGCGGTTCAACATGGCAAGACTCCGTAAGCAGACCTTGCTCCCTCTGTAAATAAAATGGGTCTCATTCCTAAAGATAATGAAAAAACAACAGTTGCTTTTCTACAGCAAACGGCTCATTGTAAGGTAACGAAAACATAATATTATATTATTATTTTCAGGTGATTATACACTAATGAAAACATACCTGTGAATATTATATTATATTTCTGCCAATAGATCCTCCTAAATGTTACACACTGGACGTCTCACTACGATTGCTCATTTCATTTCTGTCAGTCACACTCTGTGGCATACATTTACTTCTGTCTTTATATTGTAAATATTGTATTATAAAAGGTACATGCTTATACTTTTAATTTTCTTTTTTACTTATATGTATATACCTATATATACACAGTTTATGTCTCAATATACATATATGTTAGATATTGTAATTTAATGAATTCTACCCTTTAATGCTGTGTGAGCACCTTGAGCAACTGTTACAAACACATTTTGCGCCGGGGATCAATAAAGTATGTCTGATTCTGATTCAGATTTTAACTGGAAAAGGGAAAAACAATATTGGCCCCTTCCTGTCCAGCAGTGCCATTTGTTGAATAAATGTAAATGCTTACACAGTTTGTTTTGAGCATTGTACTAACAGCTGAAGTTTTAGTTGTCATCTTTCATTTAACTCTTTTCTTGTAAATGCTGTCTATATTGTGTATACTGGTTGAAGTTTCAGGCAGGTTTCAGTGCAACTAAAAGTCCTCTTGTAAATATTTGCAAGCTCCCCTGAGACATGAAATGTTTTTCAGTTGAGACAACATGTTCTGTTTACAGGGTTGTGTGCCCTCTTCTCCCTGCAGGTCAAAGCTACAAGGTGAGACGTTCCATAACAGGCTTTGCTAGAATGTCAAGAATTCAGCTTGAACTTGCTGAACTCACATGGTTCCTCCTCTCTTTAAGTTGTTTTCCTACAAAGTCACTTGATACTCATGCCTGTATTAGGTAATGCACTATGAGGAAACGTAAGAAAAACAAAACCGTCAATGCACTGTTGCTGAATTCACTTTACAGATAAAAGAATCCAGTAAATTCTGAATCTAATTTATCTGAATTATGTCTCAAATCTTTTGTGGACGTCTTTCCAAAGAAATCATCAGACATAGAAGAGTGTTGTGCTAAGATCCTCTTTGATGTGCATTTTTTTATTCATTTCCAAAGAAGCCTAAGGCGAAACCACTTTCTCAAGTAGATGTGTTACATACACATATTTCAAAAGCTGAACTGATGTATGGTGTAACTCACTTGCATTAAACCTTCTGTTCTTTAATTTCCCTGACTTCCTTTTTATTCTTGCTATGCCTACCAAGACTCAGTTACAGCTGTAGCTTTAAAATAATTGCTCATTTTAAATGAAAAATGGCTACCACAGAGTAAAAATTGCATTTCTTCCATCTTTACATTAAAGTTGAATGACAAAGAGCAAAGGTATACTCAATAATAAAACATTATTTTATTGCAGGTGGAGTGTAATTTGTTAAGTTTGAAACATTTAACTGACAGAACCAATCTTTTCTTGAGTGTTTCACAGTTTTATAATATCCAGGTTTTTTACTCTCTCAACTTCAATGATTGTCTTTTTATACAAAGGGACCTCCAGGCGCTTTGGATTACGAGACCCACAGGTGTCAGTGTCTTACAAGGCCAACCCTCAACTGATGTAATTTCCCAATCTATCATTTTATGAGTGTGCCTGAAGGCAGTAGCTCAGCCGACACATTGGCCTACTCCATTAAACACAACTATCAACACATGGTTTGTTTGCTGTTTGTGCCAGCGATCCATTTTATTGAGTTTGTCTCCAACCAGGAGGCCTGTCAGGATCAGATCAGTATCAGTCTATTGTGCTCAGTAAATGGCAGAAGCTGGGGAATTCTCATCTTTGCGCACAAAGAAAACAATTGATAGGCATATCTTTTATTACACAATTTAACTCATGATTGGTTAATATTTGTAAACAGGACTATTCATTTTAATCTGTGAAATTCTGAGCAAGATCACACACACACACTTAACCAACTTAATCTAACTTCGATGTTTGTTTTAGTAAAGAGGTAATACAAGTAACATCTCCAAATGCCTTGACAAAAAACATGCAATTCTAGGATTACGCTTATTCGGTCAGATTATTCTTTAGAGTTTAGCTGAGAAGATTGACACCACATTTATGTCAGGTAGGGTATCTAGCCACTGTCAGCAACCAGTTAGCTTAGCATGAAAAATGGAAACAGGGTGAAGCAGCTAACTTGGCTCTGTCCAAAGGTAACTAAATCCACCTTGTCATACCCAGCTGATTGAGAATGGTATCAATCTTCTCATCTAACTTTCAAAAAAAGTGCATTTCCCATAATTTCAGACTATCTCTTTAATTTTCATTAATACTTTATAAAACTGAACTGTCACTGGCATTACACAGACACTCACACAGCCTTATGTTGCTGTTGCTCTTAACAGCACATTCCAAGCTGTACAATTTAATCAAAGCCAGCAAGTGTTTTTTTTCTACGCAACATTCACGTGGAAAATTCCACATTAACAAAGTCTCGTTTTAAGCAGCTATTGTACTGTGACTACACAGGCACTGGCTTATGTCCCTGTCAGAAACCAAAGGTGGCCAAACAGTAAGGGGCAAGGGGCTCAGAGTGTATCTCTCTGTCAACTTGAGCATGTTTACTCAGGGGGTTTACATATGTGATATGATGCAGAACATGCCGTTCTTTGTCTCCTGTAAGCACACAAACGCACAAGTGCTCACTGTAAAAACAGAGGTCGCTTGAGGCTTTTGGCCAAAGAGCCTCATGCTGTTTTCACACTTGGCACACAAAGACACGTGTCACATGCTGCCCAACATACAAGTGGACTGTAGGTGCTTACATGCTATCAACAAACACACGCACGCACACACACACACACACACATACAGTATGGTGGTATTTTCCTAACTCAAGGCACTATAGAATCACACATTGGGGTAGCAATGAGTCAGATGTTGTGTAATGCACAGGATACTACTTACATGTGCTGTGAACTATACAGTATATGTATGTGCTTATTTAAGTATCACTCATTACATAATTTTGCAGGGGTTGAGACTGGAGCACCAGGAAGAGACTATCTGGCCTCACTGAACACACTATTTATAGGTCCTGTAGCTTCCTAATAATTACCTAGAAAGGAACTAATGGCACTGTAACTGTTAAGAGGGTTCCTGGAAAGGACTGAGTAATGTGCCTCTAACATCAGGGGGAAAGGAGGTAGTGTTGAAACGAGACAGATCCTCAAAAACATATTTTGAAACCCTGCTTGAAACACACATGACTGGATTGAGTTAGGGGGCCCAAGGGCAAAGAAATATGTTTTGGCTCCTCCTGTCGTCATCCACTGACCTCTGAGCAATGTGTATGCACCCTGTCAGCTCCAAGTTCCCTTTAAGTCCCATGCAACCAGTAATCCTATGTTGGGATGATTTGTGTTAGTTTGTGGTCATTCAATTAAACAAACTTTATTAGGAATGTGCACCATGTGAGCACAATATAAACCAGGGACTCATTTTAGTTGATGTTGAACTTTAGTGGCGCAGATTCTACAACAAATTTGGAATTAGACCAACAAGTTACCAAAAACAATTAGCATGCAGTGAACCTGGGAGCTTTGAGGGCCCCTCGAGCCCTGGAGACTTAAGGAAAGGATTGCAGTGTTTAGCATTCAGTTATTTAAGAGGTTCTGTATATTAACCCTTGTGGTTTGTTCATTGGTTTTCTTGCCCATCGTTTGTGGTCTCACAGACCCAACTGCTGTAAAATAACAGTTACAAAGTCAACCAACTTTCCTTTAACTTTTACTTTCATTTTGACATTATTAAAACCCAATATGTAGGAAGGTATTTGTCACAAACTGGTCTTGCACATTTGATGAAACAAATATGAAAATTACTATAATGCGCTGTTGTTAAAGCAAAATGTCATGTTTTATATGTTATAAAAGCTATGCATGAAAACATATTGTATTTGCCAAGTAAATCACAGACAAAGATATGTACAGTATGTAATCCTACACAGTGATACTTCTGTTGGAGGTGAATTAGACCCCAGACAAGTTTAACTCCCTGTTTGACCAAAACCAAACAAATCAGACTTTGTTTGGGATTTGGGAGGGGTGCTAAAAAGTACTGTCATCACCAATCGCAGACATTTATGAAAATCCATTATATTTATTCATGTTGTCTGAGACTCCAAACAAGGAGTAACAGAAGTAATGTGTCACTCTGAAACACGTCATCAGTTCAAAGTCAGGTTTATAAGCAAAAAGAGTCAGAAAGTATCAAGCTGATAAAAGAATGATCTGGTAGGTTTGTTGTAGAGCTGTTAAAGAGGGGTCAGGGTCACCAAGACCCCAACCAGGACATTATATCAAGCACTATGACACATAGCTCACTGTTTATACTATGAGTTATATCGACTGAGTTATATACTTATTTTGCAAGACTGACTCACAGTAAGTGCATCTTTATGGGAGAGAAAGAGAGGCGCAACATTACCTAATTGTTATGGGAAGATTATCCTGTCAGAGGGGGCGGGGCTAGGGAGGTGAGATGATGACGATGGTGATGATGATGATGATGGCCCTAGACTGCTATGCTATGTGAGAGGCCGATAGGAGCTCTTCCTTTGGATGGCGGGGGGGGGGGGGATCACAGAGGGAGGCGGTCTCAGAAACACACACACACACAAAAAGGGCCCCGCTGGTTCAAGTGAGGATAGGGACCGTCCTGAGCTGAACTCAACGTTACAAATAGGAGCTGCGCTATTCCAAGTGGAGCAGAGTGGAGGTGCGGCACACCGATGATAATATTAAGTAACGTTAACAGCGCTGAGTGGAACTGCGGTGTTAAAGCAGAGAGGGAGACAGATAAAAGCGCTTCTTCCTGAACCGGACAAGGAGACGTTTGGAAGAGGCGGAGGACTCATGCGCATCGGAGCAGAAAACTGATCAATCTTCAGAGGTAAAATGATTCTTTTAAATACAGATTTTGATTTCTTTTTTTCAAAAGTTTTAATCATGGCCACTCGCTAAATGAAACCACGACATGAAAGCGTTAGAATAAGTGTAATAAATAAATGCCAAATGGTCTATATAGCATGTAACAGATCTCAAATCTGCTTTATTAGCTTCTTTTATAATGTATGTTGTCATTTTAAACTGATGTGGGATTAAGTTTAAATGTTAAGTTATGTTGTTATTCCAACATTTTATTCGCTCATGTTATACTGAATTTTAGGCTTATAGCCTGCAGGAAAAGAGCCGGTTTACTTTAATATAGATAAAGTTCACCAAGGACGGAAGTTGCAACATGTTAAGATTTAAAGAGCAACAACTCTCAATTGTTGCCTGTAGATCTAAATTGAAGTCTCAAATGCCAGTGATGCTTTTGTGTGTAAGAAGGTCAGCTCAGATATTTAAAAGCAGCCGACAGGAGATCAGCATGTCCCTGTCAGGCATGTGGGTCAGTGCTGATGAAGCAAGTGAAACAGCCAGACCGGAAACCGATGACGAATTATTTAATTGCCCTAATAAAGATAACAAGGAGAACAAATAAATGTTAGTTTATGTCTTAAATATAAATGTAGGTTAGAATGTTAACAGGTTACTGTCGCATTGAAATGGAGATTTATTTCATCTTCTATTTAAAACAGGTGCTGGATGCTTATAGAAAAGCCAAAAGTCTGGTCTGACTGAGTATCTTTGTGTTTACAACACACATTGTGGCATATTGAAAGTATAATGAGGCTTGCAAGGTTATGGTACAAGTCGCTCCCGTTTTATTAGAGAGATGTAATAGGGTTACATAATATTGTGTTGTAATGGCTCTTGCATAACCACTAAATCCCTCTTCTCCTTCCCACTTTGACCACTAGGTGGCACTGTTGCTGTATCCTGAGAGTACAGCGAGCACTCAGCACCACACAGCGGTTCTCTCCACTCTTAGCAGCCAGGAAAGAGTCACTTGACCCCTGACAGGCGTGATGTTTGACGAGGAGTCTCAACAGATGAGGGGGCAGCAGGAGGTGGCTGTGCTCCAGGCTCTGGAGTCCCCTGCAGCACTGACTCCAAGTGGAGGCGGAGGAGGAGGAGGAGAGGCAGGGTCTATGTCCTTCACAGACGAAGCGGTGTCCATCCTGACCTCCAGCAGCCTGTTGGCGCGCTCCCTGCTGGGTCGCACCTCTGCCGTCAAACGCAAAGAGAGTCCTTCTTCCAGCATCCGGCGCAAGCGCGAGTTCATCCCGGTTGACAAGAAGGATGAGGGCTACTGGGACAAGAGGAGGAAGAACAACGAGGCAGCCAAGCGCTCGCGAGAGAAGCGGCGTGTGAACGATATGGTCCTGGAGAGCCGCGTTCTGGCTCTGCTGGAGGAAAACGCTCGCCTCAGGGCAGAGCTGCTGGCCCTCAAGTTCCGCTTTGGCCTGGTCAAAGACCCCTCCAACACCCCTATCCTACCCCTCACTACAGCTCCTCACCACAGCGCTCAAACCTTGACTCCTCACTATTACCTCCACAGAGGGGACGGAGGCGTCCACAGTTCCTCAGCCTCACATCCGAACAACCAGACGGGCCAGTTGAGCACCAGGGGCTCCAGGGATGCTGGTAACATGTCAGAGGACTCCGGGTTCTCTACGCCAGGGGGGTCTAGCGTGGGTAGCCCGATCTTCTTTGAAGACCGGCTGAGCGACCATGGGAAATTATCACCACACAGAGCAGAGGAGCTGGGCTATGACCTCCACCACTCACCTGCTGATGTCCACCACACTGTAGGACTCAGCGCAGAGAGGTTGGACCAAGCCGAGGCAATGAAAAACCTTCCCCACAAGCTACGTTTCAAGACGCCCGGCAGCGGAGATGTGGGCGACACTGCAGGGGATAGCGCCAGACGCAGCCCTGCGCTATCCACAGCAGGTCCAAGAGAGGCCCCTAAAGGACTGAGTGGAGGTGAAACGGGAGGGTACTGTACCGGCTCCTGGCTCCAGCAGCTGGAGGGGGAGGAAGGCAGGAGGGGGAGACAATCCCCCCAATATAACGCTGCCGGATGCAACCTCCAGCCTCCTCTGACGCAAGGACAAACAGAGGTCCAGTATAAGCACGAGAACACTCACCTGAAGTCTCAGCTCAACTCTCTGAGTGAGGAGGTCGCGCAGCTGAAGAAGCTTTTTACAGAACAGCTCATGGCCAAAGTCAACTGAGGACCAGAGCTGTGAGTCAGCCAGTGTTTGCCAACGTCTAGACTTTTAAGGACAGAGTTTTGCTGTGAGCGAGCTTAGAAACTCTGATAAAACCTAACTCTCAAGTCTAACAAACTAATGTGTTGTTTTTATTTTAAATACTGTACTATATTGTAATAAATGTCTATAAACATTCATCTCATAACCTGCTGTTTAAAAACTACTTAAACTCAGCTCCAGTCAGTGTTGCTCAGACAGGGAGTCCTATCTGTAATTTAAGTGTGCACTAGTTCCTCTACTCCATACACTGTGACAACTAAAAACCACACAACATAAAACTGTTTACGTGACATCATTACACAATTCAAGATCGAATTAATGGCCTCACATTACTAAGAGAGAACAGGTTCTGGAGCCACATTTAATTCAATTGGAAGTCAGCCAGCAGGTTTTTTAAGGCACCATGACGGAGGAAGTGTTTGCAGTTTTGTTGTTAGAGGGGTTGTGACTTGCTGCACAAGTTTCCCACCACTGAGACAGGTCTGCTAGAACACGTAAACACAAGCAGAGACAGACAGTAAATACACCCAGAAATAAAACGATTGGCTGTCCAAACCTCCATTGGTCTTGAAGGCTAAAAAGAAGGGTTTGTTCTGAATCTGTTTTCACACGTAAAAATGTGTTGGGCTTGTTTATCATAACTTGTTATGTGTCACACTGTCAAGGACGTCCTTTTAAACACTGTAACATGTACTGTTTTGGTGTTTCACATCTCATGCCTGGTTTGAATATGTTTTATTACTGTCATGTTATCTGTACTGAGGTGATGACAAGAATTCTGCTGTCTTTCTGTACATTTTCTTATTAAAAATAAATTTGACAGATTCAACATCATGGTGGTGAGTTGGTTGTTACTTGAGGAAACCTTAAAGGGGCCAATTTTACACATGAAGTTTGGTTTACTAGTCAGCAAGTAGAAACCTGTGAGTAGCTCTGGAGGGAGCCCTTTAAAGGTTGATAAAATGACGTCATCAGGGTTGTTTCAGCGTGGGCTTGAGACTTAAATTTTAAAAGAAAGCCTCTGTAACAAACATGAGTTGCTCTGTTTGAAAGAGGTGGGCATTTAGGAGGCAATAGGGGTCTAAGAGGTCTAGAAGTGCTACTAAGTTGTGCATGTTTGAGGAAGTGTAGCGCTTTGGAGCTTGACCCAGACCAGAGAGTAAAAGTCAGTATATGTCAGCCTCTGCTGCTTTGATTTTGTCTATTCTTTTTTTAATACACCAAACTCTTTGGAGGTGCAATAATAGATCACTGGAGTTCCCCTGTGAACCCTGACAGATCAATGCCAAACTGTTACATAACATACATTACTGTAAATAGCATACAGCAATACAATTAAAACATCTAAAGCAAACACCTAAAATGTCACATTGCTCAATTGAGCCAGGATATAATTTCAGATAATAAATAATTATAAGGCATAATAAGAGAGCAGGTAAAAGAGAACAAGACAAGGGTAAGGCCTAGCAGACAAGTGCTGACAAACGCAGGCGGTGAAGAGAGGAGTTGTGCACTTGGCAGCTTTGTCTCCGACAGTCCCTACGGGATGCAAGACAGCCTGACAGCCAGACAGAGACAGAGACAGTGGGTGTGTCTGCTATTACTCAACAGTTCTATCACAAACCTTCAGAACATGAGAGCTTTAATTATAGCGCTGGCGGGGAATTCATTCAACGAAGAACGCATAGCATGAATTCGACGGAGCCATGCAGTCACATGCATACTAGAAAATGTTTTTGTGGCCCTTTTGCAGTGTGTCTACTGTCAGTACACATATGGTGTCTGAAGTGTCTGAATTTCAACAGTTTTGGGGCGCCTACTCCCTTTCCTATAGTTGGGAATTTGTAAAAAATCATGCTACTTTTGAGTCACCAGGGGGCAGCAAAGACAGCACATTCATCATCACGATGGAGCCCCAGTGTCTGTGTTTCACCATACACCACAAGATATGAATCATGCTATGGATCCCTGCGATTTTTATTGTTCTTGCAGCTTAGCAAGTTAGTTGGCATGGAGATGAGTGATAGGTATGCAGGTAGAATCATGCACAAACTGACGCTCTAGTATTAAAAGGTCAAATTAATTTAGAGGAGAAAAATATTTGATGCCATAATATGTTGTTATTTCAGGTCAGTGCTATTATTTGTTATGAAAAATCTTCTAATAATTGATTTGGCTTAGTATGTCTTATGTCTTATGGTATTTTATTACTACAGAGATGATCTTTTTATGCAAAAAGTATTTATTCTCATTTCATATCCATTGTAGGAAGCTGGGACAAAACAGATATATCCTGTAATTAGATGATCTGTTTGTAACTCTGCTAGAATTTAGAAATATAGAGACTAATTTTGGCTACAGTTCTTCCCCAAAAACAGATTGGAAAAGCAACATTTTGCAAGTATAAATAGCAAATTGGAGAAAGCCTGTGGTGAAATGGAAACGTAGTAAGGTAGAGGCAAGGCAGACACTGCAGATGTGGAGCGGAGAGAAGAAGAGAGTCTGATTTAATGAATCCACCGCAACATGCTGCTGTTACACTACCGTCCTCACCCACATTCATGCATCCATTAAAAAAATAAAAAATAAATACGCAACCCCATCTTCCCCCCCATTCTGTTCCCCCCTTTTTTTTCCAGTGAAAGGATAAAGCCTGTTGCTAGGCAGGCAGTGCGACAGTTGCCATGGGAACGCTTGCAGACATAGCTGGAAGGGGGGAAAACGTTGGGCAGGGTGGGGATAAGGATGGGGTGCAAAAGAGAGGGAGTATTGCAGAGACAGAAAGAGAGAGAGAGAGAAAGAGAGAGAGACAGAGAGAGAGAGACACAGAGAGAGAGAGAGAGAGAGAGAGAGAGAGAGTGTGTGTGTTTTATGGGGGGAGGGGGATCCAAGTTCACAGCCAATGCCTCTGCTCTTTCAGCGCTGTTTGTATCCTCCAGTTAAAGAAGGAAACAAAGAGGTGCAAAGGAATGGTGACTTATATTTAGTTCAAATCTGTAGGCTGCACATTTGGGGTAACCCACTGAATATGCAGTGTCACAGGAGGTGTGAAGTGAATGCTGAACTTATAAAAATATGGCTGTAGCAACTTCACAAATCTGGCCTAATTTACAGGCTCTAACCGGGTGTATAAAAAGAACAATAACACAGAATCCCAAATTAAGAACTAGCAACAAAAAAGGTCACTTTGCATAATTGAGACAGAGAGTCAGTCAGAGTGAAGTCAACAAACAGAGCACAATAACAAATAATTTCTGTAGCATCCAAGCTGAAAACTGCTCATCATCCTTCAAGGACACACAAAAATCCAATGATACAGAATAGTCGCTGCAGTTAATGCAGTCGTATGCACCAAACACACAAATGTTACTGTAACTGCTTACATCTTTGCGGGAAAGGTTAACTATGAAGAAAAAGGCAAGGGTACAAGTTTTCTGGACGTACACACTCACACTCACACACACATACACCCTCTTTCACTCCCATGCAAAAGATAGCACAGCCTTGAAGATAAAAGGAAATAATGAACATATCCGCAGCAGACGTCAGCCTGCAAGGCATCCATTCAGGCCTCTTTTTTCCCCTAGTTTAAATCACTCTGTGGATAATGCACTGTGCCGCGCATTTACTGAGACACTGAGCAGACCTTTACCGTCCCTATGTCTGGAGCAGGATGGAGAAAGATGGCTATCTGACACGTGGAGTTGCTTCAACGACAATCCAAACTGCACAGTGTCAAGTGCAGTTTATATGCTGCTTTCCTGCCTGCAACTGAATGAGAGCTATATAGAAATAATCACAAAGCACATAGGTCTCATCTAAATACACTCTGATGCACATGAGAGTGTGATACATGGCCATTCAACTGCTTGAGCTTATTCAAAAGCCTGTTCTTCAATTACTCAAAGGATGGTGTTTAATTCAGAGGAGAGACATTAACTGAATAGTTTAACTCCCCTGCTCTTTGTGTCGAGTCTCTCCCGTGCTTCATGCCTTGTGATCAAGAGGAATCAAAACACAATGTGCTTCAATTACACAATATGGTTGCATTCTGGCCAGAGGAGCTGGTTTAACATGCTCATTCAACACTTGATGGTACGAAGTAGATTCAGCTTATTGCAACAATACAGTGACAGACACTGTGAGTGCCAGGCTTGCTTCTGTAACTATTAAACCAAAATGTTTCACTTGTATTCATGTACTTACAACAATGACTCGGAGTTGAAAACACAGTGAGTTTGCAGAATACCTCTTTAATACAGGAACGCCACGTTTGTCCATTAGTGCAGTGGGCCGTGATGGGGCAGGGGGTAATAAGGTAGAACAAACCCACCAACTCTCACACACACAGACATACGTAGGTGAGTAGTTGCATCAGTATTTCTGTTCCACTGTCCTTTATACTTCTACTCTACTATATTATCTGCATATTTTGCTGATTTTTTAATACAAAACATATGACCAGCTTCTAAATGGATGCAGTGATGGTGTAGTAAAAATACTTATTTTCAACGCAGATTAACTGGATTAGTCTTCTTTGTTTCAAAATACAGACACTTATTTCTAGAACAGTTTTTAAATATAATTTCTAAATTTAAAACAGTATCAGCAACATGTACATAAAGCATCAAACGTAAAAGTAATCATTATGCATAAAACATGGTCCTCCTACGGTTGTTATATTATTTTTTACTGATGTTACTGAAGTTAAAAGTAGCATTTTAATGTTGTGGTTGGTTGAGAGGGATCTTATTTTAATGAGTGTGTATTTCACCTTTGGCTGGGTAAGATTTCTAAAACAATAAATCCTATTTTATAACCTCATATTTAAAATATAAATCATCATTAGAATGTCAAACCTTTATCTGCAAAGTAACGGGTAATGATAGCTGTCAGACTAATGCAGTGAAGTAAAAAGTACAATAATACCATCTGAAATGCAGTAGTAGTACAAAGTGGCAAACACAAATGTGCTAAAAGCCCTATTTACAACCACTGTTTGGTTTGTTCATTCTGGGCTACTGTAGAAACATGGCGGACTCCAAGAAAGGCAACCCCCGGTGTCTGTAGGTAAAAAAAGGCTCATTCTAACAAAACAAAAACACAACTATTCCTATACTCAGGTGGTGTAATGAAAACATACTTATTATATTCCATTTCTGCCAATAGATTCTCCTAAATGTTGCACACTGGATCTTTAACTTGAAGAGAATTACAGCACTTAAAGCAATAGTTTGACCTGTTTGGAAATACCCTTATGCACTTTCTTCCAAGCTACAGCTTTCAGCTAGAAAGAGTGTGAAACAGCGAGCCTAGCTCTGTGTGAGGGTAACAAATCCACCTACCACCACCACTAAAGCTCACTAATTAACATCTTATATCTTGTTTGTTTAATTATACAAAGAACAAAATGTTAAAAACAGCTTGTTTTACAGACTAGCTGTTTCCCCTTTTTCCAGTCTTTATGCTAAGCTAAGCTCAGCTAACCAGCTACTGGCTGTAGCTTCATTTTTTTACCATACAGACATGAATGGTATCAATATTCCTGTCTAACTCTCATCAGGACAGAAAGCCAATATTTCCCCAAGTGGGGAAAAGGACAAGTGTGAAGGATTTAGTGGCATCTAGTGGTGAAGCTGTAAATAGCAACCAACTGAACACCACTCACGTCTATATTTGACAACCTGGGAATGAGAACAGGCCGCAAAACACGAAAGGCCCTATCTACAGCCAGTGTTTGGTTTGTCATGTAGATAAAAAGAAACAGGCTCCATTCTAATCCTATATTCAGCCGCGTATTATACACTCACATGAAAAATGACCTATGAAATATT